CTCTCTCTCTCTCTCTCTCTCTCTCTCTCTCTCTCTCTCTCTCTCTTGTTTTTGTTTTTTCGAGACAGGGTTTCTCTGTGTAGCTGTGTAGATCTGCCCGTCCTGGAACTTGCTTTGTAGACCAGGCTGGCTTCGAACTCACAGAGATCCACCTGCCTCTGCCTCCTGAGTGCTGGGATTAAAGTCGTACCAACGGATTCTCTCTCATTTCCTGCACTTCCTACTGAGACAGACATAGAATTGTTGTGGACTGTCTTGAGCTTTGCACCCAAGATTTAGCAGAAATCCAGGAGATTAGAATCCTTCCAAACATCATAGAGACAGCTCTCTTCCAGCTACAGATTACAAAACCTTTTATGTATGCTTTCCCTTTGTCTTTCAATAGCTCAAGAATTTAGGCCTGGGTATCCACTCTAGTTGATGAAAGGCCTCCGAGGCGGCAACCAAGCCCGTTAAGACTCAGGGAGCATGAGTCAGGACTCCCAGGTTTTAGGAGATCATCTCAGCAAGCTCAGATGCTCCTGGCAGGCAGAGGCAGGCGGCTCTATGCGAGTTCAAGGCCAGCCTGGTCTACAAAGCTACACAGAGAAACCCTGTCCTGAAAAACAAAAACAAAACAAAACAAAACAAAATGTCTTTTGTGCTGGGAGGAATAAATGACTTGGGGTAAGGAGCGCTTGCTGCCATTCCAGAGGATCTGTGTTCAGTTCCCAGCGCCCACAGTAGGTGACTCAAAACTGCCCATCTTTATTTAGCTCCAGAGGATCTGGCATCCTTTTCTGACCCTTACCCGACACAGGCGCACACGCATACATAACTAAAAAAGAATATATTTGACTGGGCATGGTGGTGCCCACCGGTGACGGCAGCTCCAGGGATGCAGAGTGAGAAAGTTCCTGAGCTCCGCGGCTTGATCTAATCAGAGAAAACCCGGAGGCCGCAGCCTCAACGGGTATCGATTGTATCGGCACTCCACTTATGATGCCTGGAACAGTGAGCAGGATCAAGCCACTGGTTTGGACTGCCAGTAAGCGTGCTGCGCTGTGATTGGTCCTTGCTTAGGCAAAAGGGAGCGCCCGCGGTGGCGGCGAGGGGTCCTCTGGGAAGTCATGGCGTCGCTCAACAGTGAAACTGTGGTCTGCGTGATCTGTCTGGAGAAGCCCA